CCTCATCCTCGTATCAGTTTGTATTATAAAATACCTAGAATGTTTTACGATGGGTGCTATCTGTAGCTTAGGTCCTTGGTTTCATCGCCGAATTTTAGTTTAGGCCTTAGGTAACCTTATTAACTATGACAGAGATAAATAACCCTTTGACGTGTTTAGTATCACGTTGGCCGTCAACGTCAAATCTAGCCTTGATGAAGCCTTGATTTAGCAGGTACGTAAGTGGTCGGGAATGAGTGATATGTCGACGAGTATGATGACATAGGAAAGAGACAGAGGGTAAAGACTGTTTTGGGAAGCCTCGAGACTCACCTGGACTCCACGGGGGGGGGGGGGGGGGGATGGGTCAGAGGGGCGTCGTAGGTGTTCTTACGTTGTAAGCGTTGTATTTCAGAGGTGAGGTGATTAATGGGGTTTAACGAAGTGTGTGTGTGTGTGTGTGTATGTGTGTGTCAGTGTGTGTGTCAGTGTGTGTGTGTGTGTGTGTGTGTGTGTGTGTGTGTGTGTGTGTGTGTGTGTGTGTGTGTGTGTGTGTGTGTGTGTGTGTGTGTGTGTGTGTGTGTGTCCACGCGTATCCGCGTACAACGGATGAACACCAAAACAGGGGACTACAGTGCATTTTGATGTGCGAGTGGGGTTCATCTATCAATACGACCACGAACAAACCTTCCACCCCTGCTCTTGAGATCGGCTGCACGGATTATTCCGTTCCTCGGTTTCAATTGTCCCGTGGGGATTGTTTTACGTTTCTTTCGCAGTTGAAGATGCGAAAACAATCTTTTAATCTAAAAAACAAAAAGTGATCATAAGTTGTGGAAGTATGTTTTTTGTCCTGAATCAAATGCTCTCCCATATGTAAACATATCTACTTTGTATGGATGGTCGACAGTTAAATATGAAATTCGGATAATAAAAGCAGAGCACATTGCTGTCGTTATGCTTTCGCAGCTGTAGTGCCAGTAAGTGAGGATAAGATATATAGATGAACAACTTTTTTATTAAAATTAGGAGCGACGTTTCGGTGTAGGTTCTAACACCGTTAAAAAGCAAGAGCTAATATAGAAGTTGTTTATCCATATATCTTATCCTCTCTTAGTACTCTAACTTCTAAATGCGTCTCAAAGAAGTTATGTAGTGCTGGTAGTCACGTCGCTCAAGAAACAAATAACAAAATTAACCAAAGCGTGCCATGGTGACAGTGTAACAAATTTCGTAATTCCGTGCTTTGAATAATATTATATTATTTTTTTTACCACAGGACTGTGGTGCTGCAGTTACTACAGGATGTCTTGAGTTGAGGTGTACTGTGTATCGCTGGTAATTGTGCATTAATGTTTTAATGACATACCGTATTCGACGTAATAAGCGCCCCGCTCTAATAAGAGCCCACGGTGACATTTGCTAAGATATTGGCTAGCGAACAATCCCAATTAGCACCCCTTCCGATTGATCAATAAACACAAGACTTATTTATTCGCGTATAATAAGAACTCATGTGTTATATGCACCCTAATTATGAGTGAGTGAGTGAGTTGGGTTTAACAGTATTCCAGTTATATCACGGCGTGTCAGCTTATTGTGGGAGGAAAGCCCGAAGTAATGCAGGTCTCAGACGTTTACCACTCCGGTGGAACCCACGAGCACGGGTATGGTGCTGACAAACCTAGAAACATAATCGGGGCGAACCGGGATTCGAACCCACGAGACCATAGGTTTCTGGCGTGCCCAAGGGACGCAACTCTGCACAGCGAATCGCGGCGCCTTAGACGACTGGGCCACCCGTGCCCCCAACCCCCCACCCTTAATTATGGGTAATGGAATCATGGAAAAATATATCTGTCGTACATAAATAATTCAGCATAAATAACGATATTTTTCTTTCAACTAAGTTTTTTCACCAAAATAATATCCTAGTAAGAACCCTCCGTTTCGTGGGGCGCTTATAACGTCGAATACGGTAATGTCTTTTTTTCTACGTCCATCACTCCGTTCACAGCTGATGTAGACGACTCTCCTCAAGCTGCAGTGTTGTAATCCAGGAGCAACTAAGTACTAATTTACATAGACACAATGCCTCAATTATGCGCAACGCGCAAATGACGGGGGTCCTAAAGTCGCGCCCTCTATGTTCATCCTAGTTTAGGCTGGGGACAGTCATAGTGTTGGCCGCACATGTTAGGTAAGTATTTCAGTTCGAGACGCAGTATACGATAAAGGCCCTCTGGAAATGGCAAATATTTACATTATATTGGTACGAAAATACACTTCATTTATATGACAACTTTGTTTGTTGATTTACGCCGCACTCAACAATATTCCAGCTATTTGACGGCGTCTATAAATAATCGAATCTGGACCGGACAATCAAGTGATTGACATCATGAACATCGATCTACGCAATTGGGATACGATGACATGCATCAACCAAGTCAGCCAGCCTGTGTACCCGATCCCGTTTGTCGCCTCTTACGACAAGCATAGTCGCCTTTTACTGCAAGCATGGGTTGCTGCAGACCTATGCTAACCCGGATCTTCACGGGTTTGACAACTAGCTCATGACAAATGATAATTTCTATTAACATACATGTGTATTGTTTTGATCTAAATCTCGTGATAAAGTCAGTTTGTGTAAACAACTTCTAAAATCAACCTTTTTGACACACATGTACTTACAGTAGCTTCAATGTATATTGAAACGAGAGAAGTCTTATGTTCATTCATGTGAACATATCTGATGACAGTCATTATGATTTGTAAACTTTAGGTTTTCCTCATTTTTTAAATAATATATGTCGTATGGGCTAAAAAGTGCCATTATCACACCTAATCCTTCCGAGTATTATTCGGAAGTAACTGATGACAATGACAAGGGTCCGGAAGAGAGGGATCTTAATACCTGCTATGTCTGGGGCCTCACATCTCATGGTCAAGTGAGACAATTTAGCACTTCAGGACTACATGACCTATTGACCTTTCAGCCGTGTTTCTCACGAACGCTACCGTTACTGTTTGTATCCGATGTTGGATTGTTTGGAACGTCTAAGACAATCGACTTGCTGGTGAAACTGACAGATGTCAATATACAATCAAGGTAGGTAAAATGTATGTCTTCTTTAAAATTGCCATCTATAATGATCTAACTAAGATAATGTTTAGATCTAAATAACTCTCGACCAGGTTTGTTTAGCAAAATAAAATGCATAAAAAGCTTTTCATAAACGTAAATAATTAAACAAACACATGACAGTAAACTACATGTATTTCATTTGAATCAATGTTTCCAAAAAAATATTTTGATCAGTTTTTTAGTCCATTCGGACGTACAAGGGACTGGAAATGAAATGTAAATAGTGTTGCCTTCCTCTTCAAGATTACTTTCTCTCCGATCAAAGTTAAATACATGGTTCGCTATTAACAAGTATTTGCAGTACGTACATATTGAAAATAATTAATTTGCGAAACAAACAAACAAGTTCAAACAAACATTTCTTTCAGTTCTAACTTGGCCTACATGTAGATAGTTTCTCGCCTTGCTTGGTGTCTTTCGCATTAATCCCACAGTGTTGCAACAGGGGGTTGATATTAAAGGAATGTGACTCTTATCAGTGTCGTGTCGATATCTTAATATACACTTTGCTTGTTTGTTTGTTGTTTAACGTCGCACTCAGCAATATTCCCGCTATATGTCGACGGTCCGTAAATAATCAAGTCTGGACCAGACAGTTCAGTGATTGCCATCATGGGCATCGATCAACGCCATTGGGATACGATGACATGCTTCAACCAAGTCAGTGAGCCCGACCAGCCGATCCCGGTAGTCGCCTCTTACGACAAGCATAGTCACCTTTTACGACAAGCATAGTCACCTTTTAAGAAAAGCATAGTAAACTGTTACGACAAGCATAGTCGCCTTTTACGACAAGCATAGTCACCTCTTACGACAAGCATAGTCACCTTTTACGACAAGCATAGTCACCTTTTACGACAAGCATAGTCACCTTTTACGACAAGCATAGTCGTCTCTCACGACAAGCATAGTCACCTTTTACGACAAGCATAGTCACCTTTTACGACAAGCATAGTCACTTTTACGACAAGCATAGTCACCTTTTACGACAAGCACAGTCGCCTTTTACGACAAGCATAGTCACCTTTTACGACAAGCATAGTCACCTTTTACGACAAGCATAGTCAACTTTTACGACAAGCATAGTCGCCTCTCACGACAAGCATAGTCACCTTTTACGACAAGCATAGTCACCTTTTACGACAAGCATAGTCGCCTCTCACGACAAGCATAGTCACCTTTTACGACAAGCATAGTCACCTTTTACGACAAGCATAGTCGCCTCTCACGACAAGCATAGTCACCTTTTACGACAAGCATAGTCACCTCTCACGACAAGCATAGTCACCTTTTACGACAAGCATTACCTCACAAGAAGTAAGGGGTAATCAGATATGATGCGTCGGGGTAAAAAAGGACAAAATACTTTGGTATTTGCGGTTGGATTACATCTACATTCGTCGATCTATGGAGTAGTTCCTCCAGATTTGACTGCCTAAAGTGTACTGTTACCGCGAAAAAATATATTTGTTATACAGTCACGGTTTGTGCATTAACGCCCTATTAATGTCAGTACAAAAACATGCACTGGGTTCACTTGCTTTCCTTCTGAGTGTGATTACCATGAACAGGATCGTTGTCAACACGCATTGCGCCCTTAATGAAGTAAGTTATCGCATTCACGTGACACATTAATGTTTAGGTCGCCAGTGCCCATGCTTGTGGTTTCGGGGCCCAGTGGCCTAAGGCGCCGCAATTCGCTGTATGGAGTTGCGTCCCTTAGGCCGACAGTAACCTATGATCGAGATTCAAATCCCTGATTATACTTATAAGTTATTCAGAAGCATACCTGTGGGTTTCGTCAAAGAGGTAAAGGTCTAAGACCCGCATCACGCGGAAGTGTGTACACAGTATAACATTAGACGTACATGTACAAAGAACAGTCAGTACCAGTTCAGACCAGTTTATCTTGTGCTATTTTTATTGACGACTCACCTGTCACATCTACATGCAATCTACACCTGTACCGATAACTGGAATTCGTTTTCAGCGAGACAATGATCTGATTGCAACTGTTACGGATCAACTAATTTACCCCTTAAACACGTACCAAGATTGAACACCAAGGCCGGGTGAGTTATGCTATAATTCATTTCATGTGACCGAAAATGAAAGCTATATCGGACATAGTTCTTTCTTACATGTCTAAGTATTCGTGCTACATGTCGATTGACTTGTCTTAACAGGAGCGGAGGCGGTGAAATATCATAAATCTTAAACGTCTGATTTTTTAATCTAGAATTTTCAGACAAGAACCGATCAACTACTCTAATTTTAGGCAGTTGACGGCACATACGCAGAGTCGAGGGGGAGGGGTGGGGGAGGGGGTGCTCATCCTCACCCCATGTTTAAAACACACTGTTATTAACATTTATGCGGTCGGAAGCTTTAACGGTGATCGGGTTTTGCGAAAGGGAAACGTATTACAAACCCTTCATGACTAACTCATTTGGTGGTTATTGTAAACAAAGTTACGATTAAAAAATCCCTGACAATTTACGATTAACAAAACGCAGCCCTACTTTCCAAAAAGCTGTGTTCTCAATTGGCATACTATAAGCAAGTGTTGTTTATTTAGTTATTGCTGTTTACACACTGTTCACCGCCATGCCATTTGGACCCGAGATTCATATGTCTGCTCTCAAGGGGACCGCCTCCGTGGTCTAGTGGTAGAGCGTCCGCCCGGAGAGCGGAAGGTCCGGGGTTCGATCCCCGGCCGCGTCAAACCAAAAGACGTTAAAAGATGTTACTTGTTGTTACCCTGTCTGGCGCTCGGCATTAAGGGGTTAAAGCAAGGACTGGTCGGCTCGGAGTCAGTATACTGTGTCTGAGTGGGGTATTCATGTTAAACTGCGGCATGGTATCTCAGTGGGCTAGCACTTTAAATCGGCATCAGTCCGGTCTAGTACAAGCAGCCACACACACACACACACACACACACACACACACACACACACACACACACACCACACACACACACACACACACACACATACGTACATGCACGTCGCTATATAAGTGCAATAATCTTGGACGCGACGTTAAACCCCATTTCACCTCACCTCTGCTCTCAAGGACGCAAGCCAATTCCCCGAGAATCAGGTGTAAGCCGATAGGTATTGGCCTTGTGTGGGCGTGGCAATCTACTAACTTACCCTGGGTCTTCTTATGACGTAGATTCACTGCTCCTTACAAACGGCAGCCACACGCAGTGACGTCCAGCATTGACATCACAGAGAAACCTAATCTACTAAACATCGACACAGTGCAGTTGTCAGTGGATGTACTTCGATTACAAGTTCACATATCAACATTTAACAGGGATAGTTCGATTGAAGTAGAGAAATGTTAATAACAAATACTGATAATCATGTAATTTAACTTTAATTTTATATAAAATAAACATTGTCGTATTCGTTCATTTATTTATAGATTGTGAATCAATTTGCACTAACCTTAACAAAATTAGGGCGTTTGAAAGTCATAGCTTCGAATATATGGCAGTCCAATTAAAGTAAGATCACTCGACAAAACAAGTTCAGAGATGGTGAGGTCACATCTTACTTCACAAAGGTCTGACCAGGGCTAGAACATTCAAGAGCTTATTAAAACTTTGAATAATTTTGTGGTAAACATGTGGAGGACGTTTTCAAATTTGACGCATCAGTGACAAAAATGATGTCTGATGCAATTCCCTATTTTGACAACAATATCTTCCCACAACATTTTCATGTCAACAATTGACTTGCCTTTGCATGTCTTCGTGGCAGATTTATCGATATTTATTATGTTTATAGAAAGTTATGTTTATAGAAAGGGTATTGTTTATTAAAAATATTACTAATCGCAATAGAATGGAGTTAAACACTCGACAACCGAGGATAGACAATATTTGAATCATAACTTACCAATTTATCTCCAGTTGACGACTGAGAACGGCGAAACAGAAGACACGAATCAGCATCAGTTATGTATGTTTTCAGTTTATATCTCTTACAATACCAACATTTTAGTACAATATAAGTTTTCACCCCCAGAAGAATATTGTTTGTGAAGATATAGCGCAAGTACTTGTCTTGCATACTAGTATCCGTGAAGATCCGGGTCAGACGAGGTCTTCAGCAACCCGTGCTTGTCGCAAGAGGAAAACTATGGTTGCCGTAAAAGGCGACTATGCTTGTCGTAAGATGTATCAAGGGACTAACAGGATCGGGTGGTCAGGCTCACTGACTTGGTTTATACATGTCATCGGTCCCAATTGCGTGGAGCGATGCTCATGATATTAATCACTGTTTTTTCTGGTCCAGATTCGTTTATTTACAGACCGTCGTCATATAGCTGGAATATTGCTGAGTGCGGTGTTAAACAACAAACCAACCAACCAACCAACTTGAAAATTGGATTTGACCACAAATTTCAAACGTCATCAAAACGCCACTAGACTGCAAACAGTCGCCGAAGCACTTCAAACTTAAGGGCTAAAACTATGATACCACACCAAATACATCACAATCGAATAACTTTTTCCTTTTTGTTTCATTTTTAGCTGCCATCAAACATGGGTGTCTACTTTATTTATGTAACATTGCATTATGTCTAAAGATAGCCTACATACCAGACAGGATGGATAAAGGCTTAATATAGGTATGACGTTCTTAAGCGTCCTCGAAAGTGATCCACATAGACTGAGAATGACCTAAATAAGCTCAATGAGTGGGTAAGCTAAGGTCATGTTTCGTCGTGATCAGTTATATAACTGTTGTGACTCGGAGAATAGTCGAGAACAGCAGCGAGTAGTCGAACGAGGACCACATAAACCATTGAAACCATTCGATCCACAGTTACATTGAATATAACCACGTCATCGCCAGAGAATAACCAGTCTCGATTTTCAGCCGAAATAAATCCATTTCGCGTAAAAGGCAACACAGCGACGAAAATGATATGAATGGGTCACTGTTTGTTTGTTTGTTTGTTGTTTAACGCCGCACACAGCAATAGTCTAGCTATATGACGTCGGTCTGTAAATAAGTTTGGACCAGACAATCCAGTGATTGACATCACGAGCATCGATCCACCCAATTGGGATCGATGACATGCATCAGCCTGCCTGCTCACCCGATCCCGTTTGTCGCCTCTTAAGACAAGTACAGTCGCATGGGTTGCTGAAGACCAATTCTACCCCGGATCTTCACGGGTCAGTCAATGATGACACCAGTTGTTCGTAAAAAGCGCTTGGTGACATTACTTGATTGATTGATTACTTGATTGATTACTTGATTGATTACTTGATTGATTACTTGATTGATTGATTGATTGATTCTTTATTTAACAAACTATCCCAACTTCGGCTGAGTATATTCGTACACAGTGTGCCTGTATGATATTCCATGTGTTGGAGTATATGTTCTTCAACACAACCATTTATTCAGGTTGGAATTTGTACTGGGCAACCTTGGTGGAGCCACATTTGCACGGACAGTTCGTGATGATGACATTGTGGACCAGCTTCATCATCACGTGATGACGACGTCGTTGTTGGTGCTGGGGATGACTGTCGCGGGACAACAGTTCATGGGGAATCCTATCAACTGTTGGGTGAGTTGAGAAACAGGAACAGGTAAACACTGAATGATTGTCTGTTTGTTGGTTTGTTGTTTATAGCCGCACTGAAACATATTCCCTCGGCGGTCTGTATATTATCCAGACTGGACCACACAAACGAGTGGTTGATACTATGAGCAGATTCCCACGCCTACGGGTTTCAAAGACAGGCTGTCAACAATGTCAACGACCATGAGCATCCGACCCATAAAGTCGCCGCTTACGACAAACAGTGAGTGAGTGAGTGAGTGAGTTGGGTTTAACGCCGCTTTCAACGGTATTCCAGTTATATCGCGGCGTGTCAGCTTAATGTGGGAGGAAAGCCCGAAGTGATGCAGGTCTAAGACGTTTACCACTTCGGTGAAACCCACGAGCACGGGTATGGTGCTGACAAACCTAGAAACATAATCGGGGCGAACCGGGATTCGAACCCACAATCATAGGTTTCTGGCGTGCCCAAGGGACGCAACTCTGCACAGCGAATCGCGGCGCCTTAGACGACTGGGCCACCCGTGCCCCCTACGACAAACAGAGATGCTTGGGACCAAACCCGGAATTCCCATTAAGGGCACCTCAGTGGCCTAAGGTTGTTTATACTTGTATCTCGGTCACCAACGTGGAAGGGATGGTCAAGAAACTGTAAACATGAATCAATGTAGTGGTGACGAAACGGGTGAGCACATCCTGCTTTTATTGTGACCGAATTATAGGTACATGCGTTCCGTAGAATAGCTGGCCATACAGCACGCACCATATATAGTTACATTGCGTATTTATCATAGCCAAATTCCCCCTTGTATACAAGAAGCTTACTCAACCATATATGATTTAGCATAATGCACTTACGCTCGGAAATGACGGTAACAATGGTCTGATTTTCTCGAGAGGTGAGTGAGTGAGTGAGTGAGGATTATCGAAACGCAACAATAGTTATACAATCAGTTATATTACGTCAGTTTATTTTGGGGAAAACTCAAAGGTTAGCCCCATACATTTACACCTGTGATGAAACCCCCGAGTAGGGCACTGTCATGAATCCATTATCAGCCAATCCCGACACGACTGAGGGACGCATTTCCGCATCGCTTTCCTTTTGGCGTCATGGAAATAATGAAATACACAGGCTGTGTGGTAATGGTTGCCATACTGCTACACGTATTGGATCACCCGTTTCAAGAGTCTTGTATGAATGACATCCTGTCTCTGTTCCAGATCCCTGCCCAGTATGACGTGGACGACAGTGGCTACCAGGACTACGTCGACAGCTACTGCTGGATCTCCCAGATGTACAACGTCCCCTTCACCGAGGACCTCCCCTTACACATAGAAGACAGACTGGCCGACGACAAGGACATCAGCTTCTACCGCTGGGTCGTCATCATGATGTTCTTCCAGGCATTTCTCTTCTGGCTTCCACGGTTGCTGTGGAAGACCTGCAGTTCCTTCTGCGGACTCAACATCGAGAAGGTCATCAACATGGCCCTCCAAGCCCAACTCCTCAACGACGAGACACGTAAAGAGAAGATGTCGAATATATCTGCAGTTGTTGACCGATGGCTAGGAACATTCAGAAAGGCTGAGACAAAACCATTATGGAAGTTCCTACAAACACTGAAGCAGATGGTCCTCATTGACAAACGTTCTGGCAATTACTTGACTCGGCAGAACCTATTTACTAAGCTCCTGTACCTGGTGAATGTAGTGTGTCAGTTTGAGCTTCTCAGTTCCTTCTTAGGAACAAACTACTGGAGGTACGGCACGGACGTTCTGGCCATGTTAGCGGCAGATTCCTTCTGGAACGATGAGTCTAACTTCCCGAGAGTTGGGATGTGTGATTTTGAGATTCGCCAGCTTCAAAACATTCAGAGACATACTGTCCAATGCGCCCTTCCTATTAATCTGTTCTTGGAGAAAATCTACGTCTTGCAGTGGTTCGTCATTGCAGGTTTATCTCTTTTGACTGCAGTGAGTCTTGTGTCAGCAGTAGTGTTCACATACAGACGGGATCAGGTCATGGACCAGTATGCGGTTTTACTGGATAAAACATTGAAAGAGAAAGTGGACCGTGGACTTTTTAAAACATTTGTTGAGAAATACCTCCGTGATGATGGCGCCTTCTTGGTGAGAACTGTTGGTAATAACACGAGTGAGATATTAGCGTTTGACCTATTGACTCAACTGTGGTCAAAGTTCAAGGACACGGTCCCTGAAATCAAAAGGTCAACGTCTGAAGGTCATCTATCTCTATCAAAACCAGAAGAAACTAAATAAATGGAACAATTTAACCACGAATATGACCAAATGTAACGAATTAAAGATACATTCACATTCTTTAAAAAAAATTATATCAAGCTATGTAAGTCAATGAAATTCCTTTTCTAGTTTAGACAATGAGTGAGTGAGTTAAAATTTAACGTCGCAGCGGCATTATTTCAGCCATAGAGCGACGGTTTAGTGAGTGAGTGATTGAGTTGAGTTGAACGCCACTTTGAACAGTATTCCAGTTATATGACGGCGTCTCAAATGGGAGGAAGTCTCGAAGTAATGCAAATCTCTTTTCGAATTTGGAGGGCACGGGTGACCCAGTCCTCTAAGGCGCCGCAATTCGCTGTGCAGAGTTGCGTCCCTCGGACACGCCAGAAACCTATGATTGTGGGTTCCCGATTATGTTTCTAGGTTTGTCAGCACCATACCCTTGCTCGTGGGTTTCACCGAAGTGGTAAACGTCCAAGACCTGCACCACTTCGGTCTTTCCTCCCACATTAAGCTGACATGCCGTGATATACTGGAATACTGTTAAAAGCGGCGTTAAACCCAACTCACTCACTCACTCACTCATTTTTCGAGTTTGGTAGCGCTAGGACAGCCTAGTAACGACTTAATTACGTATCAAAAACGCATGATGTATATGTGGCTAGTCGATCTTGTATAGAGTGAGTGAGGTAGTATGGTTTTACGCCGCTTTTAGCAATCTTCCAGCAATTTCACGGCGGGGGACACCAGAAATGGGCTTCACACATTGTACCCATGTCGCGAATCGAACCCGGATCCTCGGCGTTACGAGCGAACGCTTTAACCACTAGGCTACCCGACCGCCCCTGATCTTGTATAGAGCCAAGCGCTAGGCGGAAAGCCAGTTATCGGGATGACTTATACTTCTCTCTCACAACATTGTAAATATTAGATTTATTCGCATTTATTGATTTATCTGGATATATTTACGTATCAAAACTGTATTGTCTGTGTGGAGGAAAATATTTGTCAACCGAAACAATGTCATGTCGACCTTAGTATGGAAATATCATTTGTGAAAGGCGAATCATATAGATGTTCTCGCAATACGTTTTAACATCGTGAAATTTGAAACATTTGTCTTGGGGCCCTATGAAGAAACGTCGTATATACAACCGTGAAGTAAAAATAAAGTTAATTGGATACTTGAAGATGAATTTAGACAACATGGCATGCTGACAGTACTCCATTAATAGAAAGAAATGTTATCATTGTCAGCCTATTAGTGTTAATTGGTGAGGAATGTCACGTTCTATTCTCATGTAAATATTTTAAAAAGCCAAGAAGCGATTATGTACACACATTTTATGTTAGAAAACCAAATATTAGAACCTAACGAAAACTTTCTAAATTTTGCTGAATAAATCATAAAAACATTTAAGAGAAGTAACCCTGAAACGTTTGGTATGTGTAATAAAGAAGTGGCTATCCATAATACTCATGTCAGGTTTGCAGACAAAGTTCAAGTTTGATTGCATTTGAGTATGTGGGTTGGGAGTTGTGACGTTTCGAACGAGATACGCTTTATGTCAAGGCTGTCAGCTGAATGGGAACAGGCAGAGGTGGCACGTAGATGCCTACCACTTTGGTTACAACTCAGGTGCACGAATATGGGGATGCCAAATCATCCTGTTCCTGAATTAAATTTTCGTTGTGTTCATGGAAATTCCTGCATTCTGATTAGCTGAATTGGTCACGTGTTATTGCATTCATTTCCCAATGAATGTAAAGAATAAAGCCGCGCCCACCGCGGCGAACTACTTTTATTACTGCGGAATGTCGGGGAATCCCAATATTACAGTCGAGGGAATTCCCTTTCTGCTCACGTGTATCGTCATGCACAGGACATTTAGCGACTTTCATGCATATTCATTGTCCAAACTACCCTTTGAAACCGAAGGCCGAGAATGAATGAAACAGCAAACGTGCAGGCTCGCTCGTCTGTTTTTTTTTACCGCTCGCCTCGGTTCAACTTTCATGTCTTCGGGTTTCATTAATAACTAGCATTTCTCAACTGTGTTTTACCGTAATCAGGGAAGTAATGTTTGAATCACGCAGTAAATGACCATGTTATTTGAAACAGCCACCTTCTCTCGGACATATTTCTTCCGGTTCGTTACAGTCTGACTGTTGCAGTTCTTTTCGCCTCTTGCCTTAATTGACAGGTCCAATGAACATTGTTTTAATCCCACTCTCCGTTGATTGGCTACTGACTGTGTAGGCGTGTCAAGTTATGTGCATAAATTAAACGATCACCTGATTCATGTCACGCCACTGTATGTATTCCTACACCTGGAATGTTTATCAATGTCGTCATTTTTGTCTGTTTTGATATATGCAACTGTTTTGGGTTAAACTATTGTAGATAAAACATGTTTTACGTTGTCGAATTTAATTAAAAGCATTGACTGAATATTTTTTTCGGTTCATTGCGGTATGAATCGAAAAACCGATGTGCAAACTGTATGAATCCGCGTACCTCAATGAACCGAAAAAAATACACAGTCAATCCTTAAGTATCACACACATGCATGAGTGAGTTGGGTTTAACGTCTCCTTGAGATGAAATGGGGTTTAGCGTCGCGTCCAGAATATTGCACGTACATAGCGACGTGCAGGGGTGCACAGTATGCTAACTCCGAGCCGACCAGTCCTTGTTTAGCCCCTTTATGCCGAGGCTAAGTACAAGAACCATCTTTTAACTTCTTTTGGTATGACGCGGACGGGGATCGAACCTCCGAGCTGACGCTCTACCACTAGATGTGTTCATTTGTTTGTGGTTTGACTCCACACTCAGCAATATTCCAGCTACATGACGGCGGCGTGTTGATAATCGAGTCTGGTCCAGATAATCCGGGATAGAATAGATCTTCAGCAACCCACACCTGCCGTAAATGGCGACTATGGGGTGGACAACGGGATCGGGTGGTCAGGCTCGTTGACTTGGTTGATGCACGTCATCGTATCCAAAAAGCGTAAATTGATGCTCATGATGTCAATCAATGGTTTATCTGGACCAGACTCGATTATTTACTGACCGCTGTCATGCATGTAGCTGGAATATTGATGAGTGCGGCGTTAAACAACAAAGAAACAAACAAATTATATCCATTGATTAAACTTGTTGATACTTAATAACAACATGTCGGAACTTGTACGGGGCGGTCGGGTAGCCTAGTGGTTCAAGCGTTCGCTCGTCACGCTGAAGACCTGGGTTCGATTCCCGACATGGGTACAATGTGTGAAGCCCATTTCTGGTGTTTCCCCGCCGTGATATTGCTGGAATATTGCTAAAAGCGGCGTAAAACCATACTCACTCACTCACTCACTCACTCGGAACTTGTACGTGGCGGTTTCTAAATATTTTTATGACATTTCAATAATGTCATTCTGAGTAACGTCCTCACAAATCTAGCAATGAATGAGGAAAATACCGACAACAAACAATGTCACGATATTTCCGGGTCAGACATCCGGCGTGTGTAAATCTATCCGTACACTAGCCTTGCTTTGGGAACATAAACTCAACAATCTAGATTTTATTCAGTAATCAATCTCTTAACGAGAGGCTATCATGACGAGATGGCGTCACTACCTGTTCACGACTCATTTTGTTTAGGATCATAGGTGAGATGAAATGGGGTAACGTCGCGATCAAGATTATTGCACTTATATAGCGACGTGCATGCACGATTTTATAGTACTAGCCCACTGAGATACCATATCATAGGTTAACATGAATACGTTCCTCAGACACAGTGTACTTGTCCTTGTTTTAGCCCCTTAATGCGATAAGTTTTCACTTCGTTCAATTTATGAAAAAGGAGACGCCGTACAGTCTACATGTCTCTATCTTTTACCGCGTTTCGCATGTATGTTTGTAGGTCAGACAGCAAAGAAGCGCGTTTATGGACCGAGAACGTATTACCAGGTAAATAATATACTTACTCTCATTATATAGTTATTTCGACAATGACAGGGTCACCGAGATGCTTCAGAAAGTATTTGACATGTCAACATTTCCTTATAAATCAAATAAGTAGTTATTTTTTGACACACTATCTGAACACAACAATATTAATATTACTTCCGCACGTGCCCTGAACAGGTCATGACTATATTTGCTATAATTTCAACGTCATGTACTGTATGTTGTTTAATTAATTAAGAGTGTCTCAATTTCTCGGGGCGGTCGGGTAGCCTAGCGTTCGTTCGTCACGTCGAGGACCCGGGTTCGATTCCCGACATGGGTACAATGTGTGAAGCCCATTTCTGGTGTCCCCTGCCGTGATATTGCTGGAATATTGCTAAAAGCGACTTAAAGACCAAACTCACTCACTCACTCACTGAATGTCTCAACAAACATTAGAACAGCAAACACCGTTACTGATTTCTGGAAAAGGAGGCGTGCTTTTTGCTTTTATTTATGTCAGTACGCGTCCAGTATTCGCCTTCTTTTGTTTACAATTTATCACCAAATGAGTTAGTGTTAAATGTTTCCTTTTGGCTGTATTAATGCTAACAATTCCTTGTTATTTTTGTCTCGCCAAATGATTTATGTAAATAAACCATGGTATTTAAACATGTTACATTCCGGCGTGCATATATGCATGTGTGTATGTACATTAGCTTAGGTTAGCCAATGGCCACGTTCATTTAAAGTGAGGTGAGGTGAGGTGAGGTGAGGGGAGGTGAGGTGAGGTGAGATAGGGTTAACGTCGCGTTCAATGTGATTGCATTGTAACCATGTGTATGTACGTGCGTAGGAGTGTGTGTGTGTGTGTGTGTGTGTGTGGTTGTGTGTGTGTGGTTGTGGTTGTGTGTGTGTGTGTGTGTGTGTGTGTGTGTGTGTGTGTGTGTGTGTGTGTGTGTGTGTGTGTGTGTGTGTGTGTGTGTGTGTGTGTAACTGTTTAAATATGAGATCTCAAACACTTTTGAAATTTAAGGGGAACAAATGACTGGGGTCCCTGGGGTGACTTACAATATGTATTAACTCAGCCAATATGAAATAACGTTCATTATTGCCAGACTAAGAAAGTGTTACGTTGGAAACAGTAAGTTATAACGTATTTGTGTATTTTTCCTCATGAACGCATAGTGTAGATACATGCATATGTCTAATGTATTTGTACATGTTCGACAGACACAGAACTAAACTTGTGAACGTGACGGGGAAACAATCGTGCATATCATTAAATAGGATCATGAACACTATAACCATGACACTGTAGAAGCTTGATTCTGATTGGTCGAAATACCATTAAAATCAGGTTTCCAATTCTGTTAGACGCCTCAAATTAACAAACCTTTTCAATAACAAACTTCCGTGTGAATACTAGGGCTGCAACGGTTCGGTTCAGTGCACCGAGAACCGGTACTTGTCGTCTCGATTCGATCTTCGATCTACAATGTCTAGATTTCGATTCGGTTCATTCCAATTTTTGTAATAAATTTAAAATTAACAAAAATAACCACAAAGTCTGTATGAACGTTTAGAGAGTGAGATCAGTATGTATAAAAAAGATGAGGTGCCCAGCCTAGAGTGAGTGAGTGAGTATGGTTTTACGCCGCTTTTAGCAATATTCCAGCAATATCACGAAGGGGGACACCAGAAATGGGCTTCACACATTGTACCCATGTCGGGAATCGAACCCGGGTCTTCGGCGTGACGAGCCAACGCTTTAACCACTAGGCTACCCGACCGCCCCCAGCCTAGAGTCTGACCCACTGAGTTGGTGGAGGGTGAGAGAGGGAAAGTATCCCTTGTTGTCAAAATATGGCAAACAGACTGAGTGCCTTGGCACACCTGCCACATGTGTGGCTAGTGAGGGGGTCTTTTCAACAGCCGGGGATGTTGTGACTGCTCAGAGGGCTTCCCTCAGTAGTGACAATGTGGACATGCTTGTGTTTTTATCCAAAATCATGATCATCCCTGATGACCTGATTGACCTCACAGTCTAAGGTGATGAGTTTGTCCTGCTGGTGCACAGTGTTGCACTGTTCAATAAAAAAGTTAAAGTAAATACACGTTTTGTTACTTATTTATGCATATTATACATGAATCATTGTATATTATTAGACTAACGAATCGAATCGAAAATAATCGAATCGAATGGAAATAATCGAGCATCGAACCGAATCGAAGTATTGGTGAACCGTTGCAGCCCTGGTGAATACATCGATTTATCGAGAACCGTCATACCGATGCATTTATAAAATGTCAATTGAACTGTATACGTTTTGGAACGGCATAATATGTTATAGTCACGCACAGCTACACTACACCATCATTAGGTCACAACCCTTTATCTAACATGATGAGGGACCCAGTCGTCTAAGGCGCCGCGATTCGCTATTCAGAGTTGCGTCCCTTGGGCACGTCAGAAAGCTATGATTGTGGGTTCAAATCCCGGTTCGTCCCGATTATGTTTCTAGGTTTGTCAGCACCATACCCGTGCTCGTGGGTTTCACCGAAGTGGTAAACGTCAAAGACCTGCATCACTTCGGGCTTTCCTCCCACATGAAGCTGACACGCCGTGATATAACTGGAATACTGTTAAAAGCGGCGTTAAACCCAACTCACTCCCTCTAACATGATGACATCTATTTAAGAACATAAACAAATATGCAAAATATACACTAACCCTTGTGTCACAAAAAACTATCAGTCTCTCGTGTCGTGCCGACTTGTCTTAAATTAACATAACGGCGGTATACTTCTGGGTGGTTCCGTTGGTCTATGTACCTTAATTATGCGTCACCAACATTCGCTGTGCAGAGTTGCGTCCCTTAGGGATGACAGGATCCCAGGTTCGTCTCATCTTATTTTGGGTTTCTCAGCTTAATATATAATCTGGTCTTGGGTTTCAACAAAGTTATAAACGTTTTAGATTTGAATTACTTCGGGTTTTCCTTCCACATCATGCCGTGTGTCGAACTCGAGTTTTCCGGGGTTCGAGACATCAGAGGAATTTATGCTGAATTTGGATACTTGGGACTCCCAAATGAGTTCGAGACAATTCGACTCAAAAAGTTCAATACAACGAAGTTCGACTATCTAACTGCTGTTGAAAGCGGCGTCTAACAAAACTCACTCACTCAAGACATTATTACAAGCCTTGTCTAAATCGGGATATAGCGTTAATGTTAATGCCAATGCTTGGCAACAACACGTATCCACAAAACTAGAATTACACACTGACTTAACCTCCAGTTCTCCGCCGGTTAAATCTGATAAACCCTTGGGATTTATATCTCGAGGATTACAAACATTATACTAACCTTCGCTGAAGTACATTATAGCTCTACAAACATTAGGATGACCCGTTTCGTTTCTGGTAAGTTGTTGCTTCTATCTCAATTAGAAATAGTGTAGCTTGTGTGACCATCACACCTGCATTAACTGTTCTTAAAACTGCATAGCATTTTGCTAATTCGCGGACGATTTGCCTTATGAATAGTTGGAAAGGTTTTGAAGGCCTGCTTTGGAAACGGTAAAAAATGTCAGGCCAGTGTATAACAACGAAAGTTAAATAAGTATGTTTTTAAATAATCATAAAATTACATGTGTAAAAAGTAACATCTGAATGTATCAGATTACACATTACCTGCTTCTTTGGTGAAATAGCCGCGAACTCTTTGTTGTCACGAGAAGCTCGAGTTGCACGTGCGAAATAGACCAGCGCCGGTCGAGTCTACTTTTGTACAGGGTGGAAATACGTGAAGAGTGGCGTTTGATCGATACAATTTCGCAATTATTAGGTCGTTTTTGCAGTTTTTGATTTGATTTCAATTGTGTATAAGCTGGATAGCTAGGTTGTGCTTGCGATTGGAAACCTTCGAGGAGTGAAGAGAGCTTGGGAAGTAAAAGATTGGGAAAGCAACATGACGCCGTCTTCTTCCCGGATTCTCACAATCGACTCACACATACAGCGTATTGTGTACAGCTGTTCATCGGTTGTATTCGGGCGACCATATAATATATATATGTGTGTGTGTGTGTGTGTGTGTGTGTGTGTGTGTGTGTGTGTGTTTGTTTATATAAAGAATATATATACACGCACACGTATATATATATATATATATATATATATATATATATATATATATATATATAGTTTTTTTAATTTCATTTAGTATCCTCAGAACAAGGACGACTTTCCTCTATTTGTCAATGGTAGGATCGCATATTCAAGCTATGTCGTTGTGACCGCGTGTTTCACAATAGTCACAAAACTGTTATCTTGATGATACCTTCCTTGACGACAGCGTTCAACCACTGATTCAAATCCTCGTTGAAACCTCGTGAACTCCATTATGTCGACATATTATTCATAACGAAACTCTTGCAAAAGGACAAACTCGAGATATAGTCGATGTTTCCCAGTTTGACGCTACCTCCGTAGGCTAATTTGCATACCACGTGACCTGACTTTTCTCGTGTTTTCAAACAAACACACTCATTTTGAAATCAGAGCAGACTTGCCCAATGGAAGCTGTTCAGTGCGTTTTAATTATTGTTTTGCATAAATATATAGATATGCTACTACAACACCAACACTGAGGAGCAATGATCATATTTTTTTACATCAATTGAAGTAACTGTATCGCCAGGTCTCCATTTTGGCTTCGACGACAGCACGTGGAGACACACAACCAATGTAAACAAAGGATAACTTTGCACATGGAAAATTACATGCAGTTTTCACGTATATTTTCTCAATGAAACTCAATCAATTTATAATCTAAGTGTATAGACTTTTCAAAACTGGAATAGAAGAAATATGTCATTTACCGAATGGACTGTGGCCGAGGTACAAGATTGACCGCATGCGACTCTGGGTAGGAGAGTGGCCCCGATTATGTTTCTAGATTTCTCAGCACCAAACCTGTGCTCACGGTTTTCACGAAAGCGTTAAATGTCTGAGACCTGCATCACTGTGGGCCTTCCTCCCACATCAATCTGACACGCCCTGATATAAACTGGAATACTGTTCAAACCGGCGTTGAAACAAACTCACTCACTGAAAACTTACAGTAGTACACCCCTCTAGACCAATGAAGATTCCGGGGTAGAATAGATCTTCAGCAACCCATGCTTGCCGTAAAAGGCGACTATGCTTGTCGTAAAAGGCGACTAACGGATCGGGTGGTCAGGCTCGCTGACTTGGTTGATGCATGTCATTGATCCCAATTGTGTTCCAGACTCGATTATTTACAGACCGCCGTCATATAGCTGGAATATTGCTGAGTGTGGCGTTAAACAACAAACCAACCAACACCCCTCTAAATCAGACTCACATATAGGAAATATCACTTACATTTCTAATAACATTTTTTTTTATAAAAACGGTACATTAAAAGCGGTTTCTATTTGACTTTATTTCAACCATGTTTTAGGGAACAATATGCATGTAAAGTACTTAGTTCATTTTGTGTTTGCTTAAATTGCATTTTGTAATATGCACCCAGTCTCTGTACTATGTGTAGTCACGGTCGCTGGACTAATCGTGTAATCTGATACACCCCGTGTATAAGTTTGTTGTGTAATAACATTATTAATACCTCGTGACTTCATTGCAGATGTAAACGTTGATTTCGACTTGACAGCATGGTGTAAGTATACATTTTTGTCTTCGGTAGATTCATGATTATCTTGTGACACTGTCGTCATCGCCTAGATGAACCGTGTCAGTGTTATTTCTGTGTAAACAGTCAAGAAGCGACACTGTATTGTTGATCTGCTAATCGGATGAATTACGGGGACGAACGGTTTTGCATATAGTTTGACCAGAAATGATTTTACAATGAGAACATTGTAAATTATAGATTTATTAAGTCATAGACCAAGAAATAAGTTTGCTCTACAAACAATGCTTACTTTAAGCTACAAAACAATAAAATTGATCAATATTTTGTCAGACCACATCTTTTCTTAATAATGTGACGAGGCATACTGCCCATCAAGGTAGTAATCAAACCATGAGTCCTTATATCCGAATATCTCACCACCTCTGCTTTCATAATTTTTTTATCATCTAAATATTGTTTAGATTTTTTATTGATATTGTCCTTCATGATTCCCCAAATCATTTCAGTTGGTTTCCGGTCCGGACACGCCAGGAGTGTAACATTTTGCTCGTTAAACCTTTCCTGAGAGACCCGTGAAGATCCGGTTAGAATAGGTCTTCAACAACCCATGCTTGCCGTAATAGGCGACGATGCTTGACGTAAGAGGCGACTGACGGGATCGGGTAGTCGGGCTCGCTGACTTGGTTGATGCATGTCATCGTATCCCAATTGGGTGGACCGATGCTCATGATGTCAATCACTGGATTGTCTGGTCCAAACTCGATAATTTACAGACCGCCGTCTTAAAGCTGGAATATTGCTGAGTGCGGCGTTAAACAAAACAACAACAACAACAACAACAACCTTACTGAGAATGCTTCGCTCTTTTTATTAGATCATTGTCTTGCTTGAGTATTCATCAGTCACCATACAAAATGTGTGCTGTTGGAAGAAAATGTCCCTGTAGAATATCAGTGTACACTGCACTGGTTATGTTACCTTCAAGTACACATAATGGTGTGGCACCCAACACAGACACCCCACCCAACACAGGACATTTAGGACTGTTCTTTGGACGCTTGTAAATTGGTTTTTCTGTACTTTGGGTCCACATTTGTGTGCAGTTTGGATATATACATATTGAACTTTCATCGGAGAACATAACATTGTCCAAGTTGACATTTCTATGCGCCAAAACACCAGTTCAAACGTCGCTCTTGCTGTTCAGGTTTTAGGAGTGGTGATAGAATTCCTCGTGATTTCTGCACTTTGCAAATGCGTTCTTATTGTCTCTTTTGAAACATGAACTTTTCTTCTATTAATTATTACATGCCTACTATTTTTGAGACGCCAATATACCAATCCGTCTTCTGTGACCAACAGTAGATATCTTTGGCCTACCTGCTCCCCTTCTGTGCTTTATTCCATCTCCACTCTCAATACTTTTCAAAACACGATACACAGTTGATAGTGGAATGTCTGTTCTCCCTGTAATGATGTTCTGATCATATTCATTGATTGTATAATTCAAAAATATTTTTAATTTTTTGTCAAAAGCTGCTATTTCCACTGTGGTACTATTTGCCGTCTGCTGGCTTGTTTACCAAGGGAGACAACTCTGGTTTCACTTTACAAATATGATACGCGGAGTTGTCTCCCTTAAGACTAAGTTCTACATACACCTTTGATATAGTAAACACTGATGGCCAAAATAGTATATAAAATTCTCAATAATTTCTGGTCAAACTATAGTGCAGCGCATCCACGCAATTGTGAACCATGTCGATCACAATTGTTGGAAACACTCATGTAATAATGTAGGAAAGGAGTGCACATTTATTTAATATTCTAGCTGAATGAACGGTATGTACATGAGCTAATTATGTTACTTCCCTAGAAATAGGTTATATGTGTTGTATCAAACCTAAACGTCTTTACAGATAACTTAACTTCTGGTAGGGGTTTTCTGAGTCTCCAGGCGAGGTCTGGTGGTTGTGAGATGATGTTGCCATACGTATATTGAATCTTGTAATGGTGACGACCGATTCCCGACTTGATTTCAAGTTGAAGAAACACTCGGATATGAACACTGAACTGTGTTTAAATCTCCATGACCCGAGCACAGACATACATGTATGCTGGTCATCGGTAAACATCCAATTACAAGAAGTTTCATGTTATCATGTTTCGTTCGTTGCTCCTAAAATATATATGTTTTGTTTTAGGTTGGACAACATTATAAACAAGTTTTCCCAGCTGCGACTCGGTAATGTGATCAGGGATGACGACGTCGTCGACCAACTCCATCACTATGTGATGGTGGTCACCTTGACCACACTCGCTATCGGGATCGGAACTAAACAGTTTGTGGGCAAGCCGATCCACTGTTGGGTGAGTTGAAAAACACACAGACCTATATAGATAGGTCAATAGATACAGCATGGTGTATGTATATGAGTTGGACAGACAGACAGATCCATACATACGGCGTGGTGATAGTATATCAGTTGGACAGACAGACAGATCCATAGATACGGCGTGGTGTATGGATATCAGTTGGTTGATACAGCATGGTGTATGTATGATATCAGTCGTACATACAGACAGAGCTATTGATACAGCATGGTGTATGTATGATATCAGTTGGACATACATACAGGGCTATTGATACAGCATGGTGTATGTATGATATCAGTAGGACATACATACAGGGCTATTGATACAGCATGGTGTATGTATGATATCAGTCGGACATACAGACAGGGCTATTGATACAGCATGGTGTATGTATGATATCAGTCGGACATACATACAGGGCTATTGATACAGCATGGTGTATGTATGATATCAGTTGGACATACATACAGGGCTATGGATACAGCATGGTGTATGTATGATATTAGTCGGACATACATACAGGGCTATTGATACAGCATGGTGTATGTATGATATCAGTTGGACATACATACAGGGCTATTGATACAGCATGGTGTATGTATGATATCAGTTGGACATACATACAGGGCTATTGATACAGCATGGTGTATGTATGATATCAGTTGGACATACATACAGGGCTATTGATACAGCATGGTGTATGTATGATATCAGTTGGACATACAGACAGGGCTATTGATACAGCATAGTGTATGTATGATATCAGTCGGACATACAGACAGGGCTATTGATACAGCATAGTGTATGTATGATATCAGTCGGACATACAGACAGGGCTATTGATACATCATAGTGTATGTATGATATCAGTCGGACATACAGACAGGGCTATTGATACAGCATAGTGTATGTATGATATCAGTCGGACATACAGACAGGGCTCTTGATAGAGCATAGTGTATGTATGATATCAGTCGGACATACAGACAGGGCTATTGATACAGCATGGTGTATGTATGATATCAGTGGGACATACAGACAGAGCTATTGATACAGCATAGTGTATGTATGATATCAGTCGGACATACAGACAGGGCTATTGATACAGCATGGTGTATGTATGATATCAGATGGACATACAGACAGAGCTATTGATACAACATAGTGAATGTAAATCAGTCGGACAAACAGACATTGCTATTGATACAGCATAGTGTTTGTATGATGTCAGTTGGACATACAGACAGAGCTATTGATACAGCATGGTGTATGTATGATATCAGATGGACATACAGACAGAGCTATTGATACAGCATGGTGTATGTATGATATCAGATGGACATACAGACAGAGCTATTGATACAGCATAGTGTATGTATGATATCAGATGGACATACAGACAGAGCTATTGATACAGTATAGTGTATGTAATTTATCAGTCGTACATACAGACAGAGCTATTGATACAGTATAGTGTATGTAATGTATGAGTCGAACATAAAGACAGAGCTATTGATACCACATAGTGTATGTATGATATCAGATGGACATACAGACAGAGCTATTGATACAGTATAGTGTATATAATTTATGAGTCGGACATACAGACAGAGCTATTGATACCGCATAGTGTATGTATGATATCAGTTGGACATACAGACAGAGCTATTGATACAGCATAGTAAATGTATGATATCAGATGGACATACAGACAGAGCTATTGATACCGCATAGTGTATGTATGATATCAGATGGACATACAGACAGAGCTATTGATACAGCATAGTTTATGTATGATATCAGATGGACATACAGACAGAGCTATTGATACAGCATAGTGTGTGTATGATATCAGATGGACATACAGACAGAGCTATTGATACAGCATGGTGTATGTATGATATCAGATGGACATACAGACAGAGCTAATGATACCGCATAGTGTATGTATGATATCAGATGGACATACAGACAGAGCTATTGATACAGTATAGTGTATGTATGATATCAGTCGGACAAACAGACAGAGCTATTGATCCAGCATAGTGTTTGTATGATATCAGTTGGACATAAAGACAGAGCTATTGATACAGCATGGTGTATGCATGATATCAGTTGGACATAAAGACAGAGCTATTGATACAGTATAGTGTATGTAATGTATCAGTCGAACATAAAGACAGAGCTATTGATACAGCATGGTGTATGTATGATATCAGATGGACATACAGACAGGGCTATTGATACAGCATAGTGTATGTATGATATCAGTCGGACATACAGACAGGGCTATTGATCCAGCGTGGTGTATGTATGATATGAGTTGGACATACAGACAGAGCTATTGATACAGCATGGTTTATGTATGATATCAGATGGACATACAGACAGAGCTATTGATACAACATAGTGAATGTAAATCAGTCGGACAAACAGACAGTGCTATTGATACAGCATAGTGTATGTATGATATCAGTTGGACATACAGACAGAGCTATTGATACAGCATGGTGTATGTATGATATCAGATGGACATACAGACAGAGCTATTGATACAGCATAGTGTATGTATGATATCAGATGGACATACAGACAGAGCTATTGATACAGCATAGTGTATGTATGATATCAGATGGACATACAGACAGAGCTATTGATACAGTATAGTGTATGTAATTTATCAGTCGTACATACAGACAGAGCTATTGATACAGTATAGTGTATGTAATGTATGAGTCGAACATAAAGACAGAGCTATTGATACCACATAGTGTATGTATGATATCAGATGGACATACAGACAGAGCTATTGATACAGCATAGTGTATGTATGATATCAGATGGACATACAGACAGAGCTTTTGATACAGTATAGTGTATGTATGATATCAGATGGACACACAGACAGAGCTATTGATACAGTATAGTGTATGTAATTTATCAGTCGTACATACAGACAGAGCTATTGATACAGTATAGTGTATGTAATGTATCAGTCGAACATAAAGACAGAGCTATTGATACCGCATAGTGTATGTATGATATCAGTTGGACATACAGACAGAGCTATTGATACAGCAGAGCGTATATATGATATCAGATGGACATACAGACAGAGCTATTGATACCGCATAGTGTATGTATGATATCAGATGGACATACAGACAGAGCTATTGATACCGCATAGTGTATGTATGATATCAGATGGACATACAGACAGAGCTATTGATACAGTATAGTGTATGTAATGTATGAGTCGAACATAAAGACAGAGCTATTGATACCACATAGTGTATGTATGATATCAGATGGACATACAGACAGAGCTATTGATACAGCAAAGTGTATGTATGATATCAGATGGACATACAGACAGAGCTTTTGATACAGTATAGTGTATGTATGATATCAGATGGACACACAGACAGAGCTATTGATACAGTATAGTGTATGTAATTTATCAGTCGTACATACAGACAGAGCTATTGATACAGTATAGTGTATGTAATGTATCAGTCGAACATAAAGACAGAGCTATTGATACCGCATAGTGTATGTATGATATCAGTTGGACATACAGACAGAGCTATTGATACAGCAGAGCGTATATATGATATCAGATGGACATACAGACAGAGCTATTGATACCGCATAGTGTATGTATGATATCAGATGGACATACAGACAGAGCTATTGATACAGCATGGTGTATGTATGATATCAGATGGACATACAGACAGAGCTCTGGATACATCATAGTGTATGCATGATATCAGTCGTCCATACAGACAGAGCTATTGGTACAGCATAGTGTATGTATGATATCAGTCGTACATACAGACAGAGCTATTGATACAGCAAAGTGTATGTATGATATCAGATGGACATACAGACAGAGCTATTGGTACAGCATAGTGTATGTATGATATCAGATGGACATACAGACAGAGCTATTGATACAGCATGGTGTATGTATGATATCAGATGGACATACAGACAGAGCTATTGATACAGCATAGTGTATGTATGATATCATATGGACATACAGACAGAGCTATTGATACAACATAGTGTATGTATGATATCAGATGGACATACAGACAGAGCTATTGATACAGCATGGTGTATGTATGATATCAGATGGACATACAGACAGAGCTATTGATACAGCATGGTGTATGTATGATATCAGTCGTACATACAGACAGAGCTATTCATACATCATAGTGTATGAATGATATCAGTCGTCCATACAGACAGAGCTATTGATACAGCATAGTGTATGTATGATATCAGTCGTTCATACAGACAGAGCTATTGATACCGCATAGTGTATGTATGATATCAGATGGACATACAGACAGAGCTATTGCTACAGCATAGTGTATGTATGATATCAGTCGTACATACAGACAGAGCTCTGGATACATCATAGTGTATGTATGATATCAGTCGTCCATACAGACAGAGCTATTGATACAGCATAGTGTATGTATGATATCAGTCGAACATAGAGACAGAGCTATTGATACAGCGTAGTGTATGTATGATATCAGTCGTACATACAGAAAGGGCTATTGATACAGCAAAGTGTATGTATGGTATCAGTTGCTTGATACAGCATAGTGTATGTATGATATCAGTCGTACATACAGACAGAGCTATTGATACAGCATGGTGTATGTATGGTATCAGTTGCTTGATACAGCATGGTGTATGTATGATATCAGTCGTACATACAGACAGAGCTATTGATACAGCAAAGTGTATGTATGATATCAGATGGACATACAGACAGAGCTATTGGTACAGCAAAGTGTATGTATGATATCAGATGGACATACAGACAGAGCTATTGGTACAGCATAGTGTATGTATGATATCAGATGGACATACAGACAGAGCTATTGATACAGCATAGTGTATGTATCATATAAGATGGATCCATAGATTCAGTGCAGTATACACATGACAGAACAGTGGGTCAGACAGACAGACAGACAGATCCGAAGAGACCGACAGACAGCGGGATCCGTAGAGACAATGAGATCCATCACTTTGACAGATACACTGTTATACAGACACATTCAGATATATAGCATAGGATGCACAAGCATTGGAATGGCGAAACAGATATATGTTATGAAACAGACACGCTGACATACTGTAATATACTGCCAGGCAAACATTGTACCATGGATGACATTCATAATGACATATGGTATGATTCGTGAAGACGTTTCCCATCTCGTTTACTTCAGCTCCCAGCGCAGTATAAAGAGGATGACCAGCAGGACTACGTGAACAGCCTCTGCTGGATCTCCGACCTCTACAACGTCCCCTTCATCCACGAACTCCCCCTTGCAGACGAGGACCGCTTCTCTTCCGACAAGGCCATCAACTACTACCGATGGGCAATGCTCATCCTCATCCTCCAGGCTGTGATGTTTGAGCTGCCGCACTTCTTCTGGAAAAGTTTAAAAGGTCATTCCGGTTTGAACATCAAGAAGATCATATCAATGTGTATGGAGTGCCAGTTAAGCTCCAAGGCCGCTCGGGTGAAGAAACTGGGCCAGGTTGCAATGTTCATAAACAGATGGTTGAGGACGTATCGCAGATTTACCACACCTATTCTCAACTGTTGTCAGTTTGGGAAACGATCAGGGCGTTATCTGGTTCTGCTGTACATGTTCACCAAATTCCTTTACCTCGTCAATGTTGTAGCACAGTTCCAGATTCTCACTATATTCCTTGGCTTCAACTACTGGACATATGGTGTTGAGGTCGGAGGATATCTGGCCGAAGATCCACTCTGGAAAGACTTTCAGCACTTCCCTCGGATTGGAATGTGCGATTTCGACATCAGGCAGCTTCAAAATATCCATCGATACACAGTCCAGTGTGTTCTCTCTATTAACCTTTTCCTGGAAAAGATCTTCGCTGGACAGTGGTTTGTCATGGTCATTCTATCCGTGGTGACTCTTCTCAGTTTTTTGTCCTGGTTCGTCGAGGAGGTGTTTACATCTCGGCGAGAACGTTTCCTGCACAAATACATATACTTGATCGATACAGAAAGAAAGAAAGATGGCGGTTCCCTGGATACAAAACTTTTCAAGAAATTTGTCAGGGGATATCTCCGCCAGGATGGCGTCTTCTTGATTAGGATTGTTGTCAATAACACAAACGACATACTGGCTTATGACCTGCTGAATCAACTCTGGACATTATTTGAAAATGAACATAAGATCAATTCATCTGAAGCTGAACCGCTAATTAATGGAGTAACACTGGGAGAGAAAACAGAAGGTGAAACTGCAACATGGCTGTTTCCAAATGAAGTTTCCCGGAATAAAGTACCAAAGAAAAGAAAGTTTGCCCGAACCGCTTTAAGGAGCTCAAGCCGAGAATCATAGACAAAACATAGACAAATATAGGCGTTTTATAACAGACGAAAGGGAATAAATAGAAGTGCCATGTATGTCACTTATCAGATCCACCTAAGCAATACGTAACAAAAAACATTTTTATCGATTTGCAATAAATATATTGCACACTTACATGCAGAAGTTGTGAAGTTTTAGTATCGATAAATGTTTTATCTATATGTGGTTATAAACTATTTTGAAAAGTTGAATACTGTTAGGTTATACTTTTAGGTGAATCTGTTGACGCGGTGAAATAAAACAGCAGCTGACAACTTTGAGAAATGTTAGTGAGTGAGTGATTGAGTGAGTTGGGTTAAACGCCGCTTTTAACAGTAGTCCAGTTATATCGCGGCCTGTCGGCTTAATGTGGGAGGAAAGCCCGAAGTGGTGCAGGTCTCAGATGTTTGCCACTTTGGTGAAACCCACGAGCACGGGTATGGTGCTGACAAACCTAGAAACATAATTGGGGCGAACCGGGATTCGAACCCACAATCATAGGTTTCTGGCGTGCCCAAGGGACGCAACTCTACACAGCGAATCGCGGCGCCTAGACGACTTGGCCACCCGTGCCACAGAGAAATGTTATTACCCGTTGTTTGTGACTGTGATTGAGAGAGCATTAATATTGTAGCTTTCAAATTGCATAATGTACATGCATACATTTCATTTGTTGACCCCATTGCAGAGTTGAGCCCCTTGGGTACGCCAGAAACCTATGATTTTGGGTTCAGAGCCTATGTCGCCCCGATTATGTTTCTTGGTGTACCTGTCCGTCGTCGTGGGTTTCACCGAAGTGGTAAAGGTCTGAGACCTGCATCACTTCAGGCTTTCCTCCTTTCCTTTCACAATAAGCTGACACGTCGTGATATAACTGGAAAGTTGTTCAAAGTGGCGTCAAACCAAACTCACTCACTCACTGATGAACGTTAATAACACGTATACATATGACCTGTTGAAAATGCGCGAGAATTATCTTGGCATACAGATGATTGTTAGTAGATGCGACAACCCACTCTGTCCACAAGTATCCGCAGGTTGTTGGTTCGAACCCCGGAAAATGATTCTGGTTTGAAAGACGAATGTCCTTTAAATCTGGGTGAAACTGGCATTAGAGCCTATCTGCGGATCCCAATAATAGACGTGACACGGAACAGATAAAAGTGGCAAGAAGTCGACCTTATTATAACTGGCATTAGAGCCTATCTGCGGATCCCAATAATAGGCGTGACACGGAACAGATAAAAGTGGCAAGAAGTCGACCTTATTATAACTGGCATTAGAGCCTATCTGCGGATCCCAATAATAGACGTGACACGGAACAGATAAAAGTGGCAAGAAGTCGACCTTATTATAACTGGCATTAGAGCCTATCTGCGGATCCCAATAATAGGCGTGACACGGAACAGATAAAAGTGGCAAGAAGTCGACCTTATTATAACTGGCATTAGAGCCTATCTGCGGATCCCAATAATAAGCGTGACACGGAACAGATAAAAGTGGCAAGAAATCGACCTTATTCACTCACATGCGGATAAATACATGTATTGCTTCAAGAGTATTTCCTACTGCCCCCTGTTTGGAATACATGCATTTCAGGTGAACAATTGACTTGTCTTTGCATGTGTTTGTGATGGGTGCCACCGGTACGCTCACCTTTTCGCAAACACCTGGTATCAAAACTATTTGATAGTGATTCATTAGTACATGTTTTGTTTGTTTGTTTGTTTGTTTCACGCCATGGTCAGCAATATTCCAGCTATTTGACAGCGTTCTGAAAATAATCGAGTCTGGACCAGAACAACAAGTGATTGACATCATGAGCATCGATCCACGAAATTGGCGATGACATGCATTAACCAAGTCAGCGAGCTTGACCACCCGATCCATTCAGTCGCCTCTTACAACAATCAAAGTCGCCACTTACGGCAAGCATGGGTTGCCGAAGACATATTCTCTACCCGGATTTTCACGGGCCCATCAATACATGCTCATGATATAGTCGGAATCGTACAATCGACTTGGGAGAGATTTCTTATGAATTTGGAAATCGTTGAGGTGGAGTGATACGTGGTTCAGTGCGGCTATATAACAACGTAATGCACTCCTGCACGTGCACCAGGCAGGGTAAAAACAAGTACCATCTTTTGACGTATTTTGGTATGACGCGGTCGGGGATCGAACCAGCGACCTTCCGCTCTACAGGCACTAACCACTGCACCACAGAGTCGGCCTCGTGAAATCAGAATCTGTGTGGGTGTATCACGTCATATATAATCAGTAACTGTGCAGCTATACCACAGCGCCTGACGAAGCCAAGGACCAGAGGATAACAAAACAAAACAATGAGTCATTACGCGAGAAAAGATCAACGTCCTCGGGTTATGGTTACACACAATCAACAATGTCACAGCTGAGAAATCTTCCCTCTGTCCGCCCTTCCAAGAACATACATCATACGTTTTTGTTACGAAGTGAATTGTTACCTTGACTTTGTAGCTTATAATATGTTATGTAACTCCGTTGTATATGGGCCTGTAGCCTTTCATACAATAAAGAACTGAATTGAATTAAATTGAGCCATGTAACCATCCAATCCCCACCTCGCATGATCTGCAGGCAGTACCTGAATCGATCCTCCCAATAAAGCACACCGATGAGACCGCGCCTGTGGTCTAGTGGGAGAGCGTCCGCCCGGAGAGCGGAAGGTCCGGGTTTCGATACCCGGCCGCGTCATACCAATAGACCTCAAAAGATGGTACTTGTTGTTGCCTTGCCTGACGCTCGGCAGTAAGGGGCTAAAACAAGGAGTGAGTATAATATGTTTGAGTGGGGTATTCATGTTTAACTGTGGCAAAGCACTATAAATCGCAATCAGTCCCGACAAGTACAAGCCACACACGTCGCTATATAAGTGCAATAATCTTGGACGCGACGCTAAACCCCATTTCACCTCACCTCACACTGATGATCCGACCAAAAACATCCCCTTGAACGATATCGTGACGTCATGTTCCGGGCGTGTCTGATAACACCTTGCGATCTGAGCGGGCACTTAACCTAACGCCAGGGTAAACCATCACTGGACCCGCCTATATTTACTCACAGAAATTGATATCTAGGATGATCATATACCCTACAGCCGGTAGAGGTGGGAGTGTTGGTGGTGTGAGTGAGTGAGTGAGTGAGTGAGTGAGTGAGTGAGTGAGTGAGTGAGTGAGTGAGTGAGTGAGTGAGTGAGTGAGTGAGTGAGTGAGTGAGTGAGTGAGTGAGTGAGTGAGTGAGTGAGTGAGTGAGTGAGTGAGTGAGTGAGTGAGTGAGTGAGTGAGTGAGTGAGTGAGTGAGTGAGTGAGTGAGTGAGTGAGTGAGTGAGTGAGTGAGTGAGTGAGTGAGTGAGTGAGTGAGTGAGTGAGTGAGTGAGTGAGTGAGTGAGTGAGTGAGTGAGTGAGTGAGTGAGTGAGTGAGTGAGTGAGTGAGTGAGTGAGTGAGTGAGTGAGTGAGTGAGTGAGTGAGTGAGTGAGTGAGTGAGTGAGTGAGTGAGTGAGTGAGTGAGTGAGTGAGTGAGTGAGTGAGTGAGTGAGTGAGTGAGTGAGTGAGTGAGTGAGTGAGTGAGTGAGTGAGTGAGTGAGTGAGTGAGTGAGTGAGTGAGTGAGTGAGTGAGTGAGTGAGTGAGTGAGTGAGTGAGTGAGTGAGTGAGTGAGTGAGTTGTGCTGACAAACCTAGAAACATAATCGGGGCGAACCGGGATTCGAACCCACAATCATAGGTTTCTGGCGTGCCCAAGGGACGCAACTCTGCACAGCGAATCGCGGCGCCTTAGACGACATGGCCACCCGTGCCCCCGTTGGTGGTGAGAGGTTCAATAGGGCGGGGTAATACTAAAAACGATAAAACAATGGTCAATGGTGTACGGGGTTATATCATCTGGGATACCGACTGTGATGTGTGTCAGTCAGTCTGCCGAATAAAGCAGTAACCACTTCCAAATAAGGCAGTGAATACATCCAAATATGGCACAGCAGTTCCAAGAAATTAGATTTAGCGTGGCGCCAGCATTGTCAGTCACGGGGACGAAAAATTCCAAGAATTGCCAGTCAGACGCGAACTTTTCTCAAGACTCTTTGTCTTCTAGAAGGTGCGCTGTCAGATAACTGCTTGTTATCACACAGTAAACATACGTCTGTAAAATATGCTAAGCGCGCCCCTTCTTTATTCCACGTAACTAAATTTCATGCATTTTATTTGCACATTTCATTGATCTTATTTCGATAGGGTAAATGTCTAACATACCAATGCCACCTGCTGAACATAGGACCACAGTATGTTCGGCCAGATGGTCGACACACTGAGTATTATTTTTATAATGTAAGTTTGTCTCTTTGTAAACAAAAATATATTGTGTTCGGACATAAAATTAATACACGATCGTATAAAACAAAATTGGCTAGTTTATACGAAAATATATGAAACGTAACTATTTTTCAGTAAACTACGTTTATAACGAACCGACGGATATAACGAATTGTTTTTTTGGTCCCGTCCATTTGCTGTACATATGCTTATAACGAACTACGGTTATAACGAACTAAAATTAGTTGTCCCTTTGTGTTCGTTGTAACCGTAGTTTATTATATGTATATTTTTTTATGTAATGCGCGCAATGAAACATGCGATTTCAATGGTATAAACAATAACTCCTCGAGCTCATCACGAATGTTGCGTTAGTTGGTTAAAGAGATGATATATATTTTCCACTGTAACGTATTATATTAAGTTGAAGATGTTTAAGTTTGACGATTTCGAATGACCTCGTTTGACTACCCTCTTTTTGTAAATGTCGGATTATACAGGATAATATGTTTCATGAGCTTGTCTGGGTTCTTAGTACCGGGGAGTAAATTTAGATTTTAAAATTTTGTTCATCAATTCGTCAGTATATCACAGATTCGTCGTCTAAAACGAACAGCAGGACAATATTAGTTCAACAACACACTTCTTACAGAACACCTCACCTAAATTTTCAAGTGTATACTTTCTTTTGCCCGACAGTATAGAAGGACTGTTAGTGAGTGCGTCGTTAATGAACAAACAAACTTATTACATAGCTATGAGTTGTGCGTGACATGTCATTGGCTAAGATTTCAAAGCAATGATTCCGGTACTGGCAGAGATCCAGATTAGTCAGGGTCCTTATTGACAGATACCATCGAAAAGAGTGACTTTTCACAATACCACTACTGTTTGTGAAACATTTAAAGATGTTTGAAGGATTCCTCTTAAAACCGACATTGACTGTTTGAAGGTTTGTAAAACCTGATGTGAACTAGTTGTCAAGCAACTATCATCGGGGTTGCAATTTATGGACCGTGTTTGCGTGTTATGTCGTCGAATCGGCATTTCTTATCGGTGAGTGGGACTGCTTTATCAAACAAACGGTCACCCGTGGTAAAATGTTCACAAGGAACATTGGTTTCCCAGAATTCCCACATTGGAGGAGAAAGGTTATCTGGGGTCACTGTGTGGTGTGTGAGGCAAGTCATGGACGCACTCTGACTGCCCTCTGCACTCCAAACATCTTCCCGAGGCAAGAGAGTTAACTGACTATAAAAGTCCAGTTCCACCCTTGCCGAACTTGGCTGGTATTATGGAGTTACATTTTGGCTGGACTAACGAGTCTATGCATAGTCCAATCAAAATCGCGCTCCGAAATCGAAATCCGGTTCGTAAAGTGTCATGCAGATTTCGGTCGATTGGAGGATTTGCAAAACAAGTGCACTGCCAACTCTTTGTCAACAGATATTTTCTAAATCTTGTCATGTTTTTAATCAAGGTGCTCACGTGATTTGATGCATTTCGCGATGTAAGACCCGTTTTATCACAATATAGACCTTGATTATCGATCAGATCATCTTGACTGGGCGCCGCCGTTATGTTTGAAGCAAATGCAAGTGATTCGAGTGGTGGAATCTGATTGGTCCATAGGAGAGGCATAGAAGGGACACAACTCGTAAAAGCCACTTGTGGCGCTACGATCGAGCCCAGGTATTCCAGCCTAGTTCGGCATGGGTGGAAACTGGACTTTTAAAGTCAGTTAACTCTCTTGCCTCGGGAAGATGCACCCCAATCGTCATCCCAGTAGAATGAATAATCGGATAGACTTTAATCGGTCCAAGTAATCTCAGTAGTCAGATTGTGAGTGAGAGATGTTTTTGACATTATTCAAGGCACAAGGCACTGATCATAGGTATACATCATCAAGATCGGGTATGAAATCGGGGGAGGTGAAATGGGGTTGAACGTCGCGATATTTCTTTGATTATGGAAATAGTTCTGTCTTTTCTATTTCCATACAGATAGTTCCTATCGTGTCAATGAATACTTAATTTATTCATTAATTTTTGTTGTTGTTTAACGCCGCAATCAGCAATATTCCAGCTATATGACGGCGGTCTGTAAATAATTGAGTCTGGACCAGACAATCCAGTGATTGACATCACGTGCATAGATCCACGCAATTGGGATACGATGACATGCATCATCCAAGTCAGCGAGCTTGACCAGCCGTTAGTCACATCTTACGACAATCATAGTCGCCTTTTTACTGCAAGTATGGGTTGCTGGAGATCAAATCTACCCCGGATCTTCACGGGTCGAATACTAGTAGTTAATTAACAAGTTTTTTATCAAGCAACATACATGTATAATAATAACTAGAACAACGTACATACATGTCAAATACATACCAGCGACAAGACCCTTGCCATAACCAGGAGAAATATCTGTTAAAAGCACAGTTTTACGATTCCGACTGCATGATAAGGATATGTTGTTATGAAATTACTAGCAAATAATGATGACACCAGGTGTTTCGAAAAGGTGGTCGTGTCATCTCCAACCTGTGTCAGAGTGAGTGAGTGAGTGAGTTTGGTTTTACGCCGCTTTTAGCAATATTCCAGCAATATCACGGCGGGGGACACCAGAAATGGGCTTCACACATTGTACCCATGTCGGGAATCGAACCCGGGTCTTCGGCGTGACGAGCGAACGCTTTAACCACTAGGCTACCCGACCGCCCCACCTGTGTCAGAAGTGCCATAGCACCCACAACGTGGCCATGTTTATATGGAGACACCTTTTTGGCAGAACCGGTCAATTAAGTTTGTTGGCTGAGGAGTCATATACAGGGAAATACACAGCCTAACACTATTGGTCCGTAACGCGGGTTTCCAAAATTCACGGGGTCCGGATTAACGAGTGTGTACTGTATGTGTAATTAAAAACATAATAATGGAAACACGCGTCTTTATTATATCACAAGAATATCTCATTGGACAAAATGGGAGTAAACAGTAATGACAATCAATGACAATCAATTAATCAATCAATCAATCAATTAATTTCATCGCCATATCATGTATATATATACATGTACATGTACCACTAGACAGGTAAGGTATGGTGTAATCATTGTAATGACGGTCCGTACATTAACATAGATTCATAGTTTACATATATGAGATGAGAACAATAAAGCTGAAACGAAGACAATTTGTTCATGGTTAATGCTTTCGCTGCGTATATACATTCCGTAAGATCCTATTGCTATCATTAAACCCTTTTTTTTTGTTGAACGAGTGCCCTATGTCTTTGAAGAATTGAATAAATACAGATATGTCAGAGAATATAACTACGCTGAAATGGCCACTATGGGAATTATGCACAGTGTTGTTATGTTATTTTATTATTATTATTACAAGTGTATTTGTACGCACGCAACTGACAAATAATAATATTATTATAATTGTGTGATTGTGATTGATTATTTGAGTGAGATACTATGATTATGTGGAACTCTGAAAAATATAACTGGATCCAGTGTTTACAACTGACATAGGTAGATTAACGGTAAAGATACATCAAGGATAGCTTTCATTTACTAGTAATGATATAATAAAGCATATATGTGGAAGTATATAATATAGAACTAAGACTCTATGTTATAACACTAATGTGATAATACAACACTAATGTGATAATACAAAACTAATGTGATAATATAATAATTATAATAATGTAACCCTACACAGCCCATGGCACAATGCTTGTTAATGCAAACCTATTATAAGTACTGTAACGATATTGAATTAACGGCAATGCTAAGCTAATCTTGTATTCATGATCTCAATCGATGTTGAACAAATATACCATATATATTTCTGAATATACTAATACCGCGAAACGTTGCTAATCCGGACGGAACTGTTCGAATAACAAAGTTTCAAATTAAAGATTACGGAGCAACGTCCCTTGCATAAATTGTAACTTTCTTGTCACACCAGTAATCGTCCAGAAAGACGGGTTTCCGAATTAGCTGGGTTTCACTGTAAACCGATACACTCAAGCACGGTATATATATATATACACTATAATAATTATCACGCTACTTTCAAAATCGTACAATACATAATATCATTCGGGCACAGCCCTGCTTCATCTCAGTGAGTGAGTGAGTAGGGTTTAACGCCGCTTTAAACAGTATTCCAGTTATATCACGGCGTGTCAGCTTAATGTGTGAGGAAAGCCCGAAGTGATGCAGGTCTCAGACGTGAGCCACTTTGGTGAAACCCACGAGCGCGGGTATGGTGCTGACAAACCTAGAAACATAAATGGGGCGAACCGGGATTCGAACCCACAATCATAGGTTTCTGGCGTGCCTAAGGGACGCAACTCTGCACAGCGAATTGCGGCGCCTCAGACGACTGGGCCACCCGTGCCCCCTTGCTTCATCTGAAGAATGTGTAAGTGAGTGGGTTGGTTCTTATGTCATCTTTAACAGTATTTCAGTTATATCATGGCGTTTAACATATTGTTGAACGAAATCATGTAAAGACTCAGGTCAAATACGCGCAGCGTATTGACGAAAGAACTAACATGGGTTTAGTTCTGACACGGAGGCTTGAAAACAGGACCAATCCTTAATTAAAACACAAGAACAGCGTGTACGAGAAAATGTTAAGCTTGAAAAAAATCCTTTTGTGAATGCAATGTCTTTTTAATAACACTTTCCATTTATTTAGGTGGAAACCTTCAGGAATCATTAGGGGCAAACCATTTGATATTCTGGAAGGGGTGGCGGCACTTGGATTTGTTTGAAAGAAATAGCTTGTTCCAGAATATACCGGAAAAAATTATTTTGCTCCGCACAGCTTGAACCAAAAAAACAGAAATTTTGTTTGAAATTTTAAGTGGTTGGTCCCTATTATGAAACCTATTCACAAGATTCGATAACATTGTGAAATCATGAATCAAAGAATGAGAAAAGCCGAAACTGACCTAGGTGAAGCAATAAAAATACCACCCTGACTTATCATTTATACACTGGGGCTATTGATGAAAGATTTCGTTTCAGGGCTAAACTCGTCATCAGATTTGTGATGTTCCTTCTTGAATTTAGCCCACAGGTGTTTCAGGAGGTCAAAGGTCATGATATCGCTGGTGTTGTTGCCGACCACTCTCAACAGGAAGATGCCGTCGTCTCGGAGATAATGTCGAACGAATTTCTTGAAGAGCTTCAGGTCTACAGAATCTCCGCCATCTTTAAGCATGAACAGGTACTTGTTGAGAAACTTCTCCCGTCTTGAGGTGAACACTTCCTCAACTGTCCAGGACACCAGACTCCCGAGAGTCAGCAGCGACAGGAGGAGAAGAACAAACCACTGTGCAGCATAGATCTTCTCCAGGAAGAGGTTAATCGACAAGACACATTGAACCGTGAATGTCTGAACGTTCTGAAGTTGGCGGATCTGGAAGTCACACATTCCAATGCGGGGGAAGTTGTGTAGATCTACCCAATAGGAGTCGTCGGCTAAAAGTTCGAGGACGTGACCCCCATAAGCCCAGTAGTTGAACCCAAGGAAGGAGGTAAGGACTTGGAACTGACAAACCACATTGATGAAATATAACAGCTTCACGAACAGATACAGTCTTGTAAGATAGCAACCGGACCGTTTGCCAAAGCAGAAGAAAACGTTACCTAACCTGTTCTTCAGATTCCCAAACGGGTTTTGTTCAAATCGGCGGTACGTCTTCAGCCATCTGTCTATGAAGATGGAGATATGCCTCATCTTGGTGTCGCGGTCATCTTCCGGCTGCATCTGTGAGTCCAGCGTCATGCCGACTATCTTTTCCATATTGATGCCGGAGAAGCCTTTCATTGTTTTCCATATCAGGTGCGGGATCTCAAACATAAACGCCTGGATCATGAACATGACGATTACCCAGCGGTAGAAGCTTACGTCACGGTCTTCGGACATCCGGTCATCAACCGCCACCGGAAGTGACTCCGAGAAAGGGACGTTGTACATGTCGGATATCCAACAGTAGGCGTTCACGTAATCTTGAAAATGATCCTTGTCGTATTCTTTCGGTACCTGATAAATAATAATCTTATATTAAGTATTTCACACGGGTTGCGCAATTCAAAAGTACAATTGATGGCTGAAAACGTCATTTAGATACAAATACGTTGCCAAATTATCATTCTGGTGAGTGTAATCAATAGATATATGTGAGGAAATAAAAATACCTGGTGATGGCAAAAAAATCGATGATAGGGACGAAGCATCTTTTTAGAATTTCTGAGCGAGTGAGTGAGTGAGTGAGTGAGTGAGTGATTGTAACAGTATTCTAATTGTATTACGACGTGTGAACTTAATGTGGGAGGAAAGCCAGAAGTGATGCAGGCCTCAGACGTTTACCACTTTGGTGAAACCCACGAGCACGGGTATAGTGCTGACAAACCTAGAAACATAAACAGGACGAACCGGGATTCGAACCCACAATCATTGGTTGCTGGAGTTGACAAGGGGCTCAACTCTGCACAGGGACTGAGCCATTAGTGTCCACTTAGGATTCCCGAGGTTTCATACATTTCAGAACCTTGATCTATTTTCTACTATGCTTAACGTTGAATGCAATAGCCAAAGCATGGATGAATTCTCTGTACCTACCAACAGATGCAGTTATCAAATGATGACATAAATAATATGAACACATAGGCGATGATACCAATCATATTATGCGCAGTGCCTTCATATGAACTTTGAGGTACAATCGGGCACACCCTTTCTACGAAAATTTCAGAGAGGGTAATTCGACTCTTGTCCAAAAGTTACAAGGGATAGAACATTCACGGTCTAAGTAAAACTTTCCAAAATTGACGCATCAGCGACAACAAGTTTGTCCATTTACTGCCTGGTAAGTCAGATAAAACGCAAACGCGAGGGTAACTCTATCGTAGCTCCACACACGGTTTATAGGTGTATAGTGTTTTATTGGTGTGTCGATGACGTCCCAATTGTATTAAATTTGGCAATCCCCGGCAACAGCGTGCTGCGTGTTCCAAATGTGTGCAATACAAGAGTAAATTATCATCTCATTTTTCATGCTTATAGATTTTGCTTTTTTGAGTGGAATATCCCTTTAGGTTTTGATGAAAGTACAGCCTGTGGACTCAAATTAAGTGCCAGATATAAATCTATCTGACTATTTAAAAATATATTTCTACAAAATAAAATATAGAATATTAAATCTAAATAGCGCCAAGAGCTTAATGTCAGAGCAGGGACAATCCCGACTTGCCAATCATTTCAGACTTGAGTTGGATTCATTATTTAATATATTCCGCGGAGCTGGGGTACAGACTAGTGCATCCTGTACACAGTATTATGGACCTACCCAACAATTGATAGGGGCCCCCACAAAGGACTTGGCACCAACCAGCACCGCTAGCGCCAACAGTGTCCCAACAGCCACGTAATGGTGCAGCTGGTCAATGAGGTCATCATCACGTGTCGACCGTGCAGCGGACAGCTTTGCGAGCTGGTCAAGCGCTTGTTTCAACCTGAAATTAGCATTTCAACTTCCATAATTGACTGTCACAATGGATTCGAAATGGCATGATAAATAAGGATTAAACGTAGCCTGGTAAAGTTGACCATATGAGTGAGTGAGTGAGTGAGTGAGTGAGTGAGTGAGTGAGTTTGGATTAACGCCGCTTTTAACAGTATTCCAGTTATATCACGGCGTGTCAGCTTAATGTGGGGGAAAGCCCGAAGTGATGCAGGTCTCAGACGTTTACTACTTCGGTGAAACCCACGAGCACGGGTATGGTGCTGACAAACCTAGAAACATAATCGGGGCGGACCGGGATTCGAACCCACAATCATAGGTTTCTGGCGTGCCAAAGGGACGCAACGTCTGAGACCCGCATCACTTCGGACTTTCCTCCCACATTAAGCCGGGATAATACTGTTAAAAGCGGCGTTAACCCCACTCACTCGCTCAGTCACTCTACATTTCGCACTGACATACACTCTTTCTAATATTCAGAAGATTATTAATCTAAATCTGTCTTGAGGCCACAGTTCGTATCAGTGCTGTCACCTATTATCACCATGTACAGGAAATACAATCTTGAGGGCTCTCTACTGTGGTGGGGAAATGAGCCAATAACATATAGTTTGAACCAATGTTAACAAATATATGATCTCTTCATAAAATACATGATAGCATCAAGAGTAAGTATATGTCAAATTCAGTACAGTGTACTACCAAGTTAAATCGAGACTGTCAACGAATGCGAATGCTTTTTGTTTGAGATATAATATTTACAGAAAGGTGAGGCTGAGCATTTTTGGGGCGTCACAACACATATGTCTTGGAACAAAAAGCATGGCAAGTGAACGATTGTCCAAGTATTCAATTGTATTTGTGATTATTTTTTTAACAGTAAAAGAATACCATACATACTTACACAAGAAGTAAATAATATATCTTATACATATAGGTTTGCATTTATCATAATAATTAATATGGAATCTACTTACATTGTGATGTCTTCTTTTAAGGACTTTCCTCACTAGCGGTTAATGTCTCTGAAACAAACGAAACGAAGTTTTCAAGTACACGTGTGTGTAAAATATTTTTTTTATCTCAATCAAAAACTTGCAATTGATCTTGGTTTCTATGATTCTTTAAATACATTTGATTCTTCAGTATGAATTTGAAAGTTAACTCTTGTCAACCAAATTGAATAAAATCACAGTGTCTTTGAGACAATTACTTTAAGGATAACGCGGGCTGAGAAACAGAATATTCGTAACAAATAGTGTACGAAGCTATCGAGTCTCCTTATACTAGCCCGTATATTCGTACTGCATGTGCAATCTGTGCGATCGTTGTAGCCAGTGCATGCTTAGAATTAAGAACTTACTAAACTTTGCATTGAAGAAAGTAAGGAAGTAAACAGTCAATTCGTTAGAGATTTGTATCAGATGGAACAATAGATTTGGAACATGTACATTGCCCGAACTCCCTCAGAATTACATGAATTACGCAAGCTTAAACTTTGCATTGCAGACAAAAGGGAAGTAAACAGTCAATTCGTTAAAGATTTGGAAAATTTGGGAAAATAGGTTGACGTTCAAAACTGTATTTTAAGCAAGTTGGATTCAAATAATTCCAAACACACTGTGATTTCTTTTGCTAACTCCAATGTTATTATTTATATCACTGTAAAGGTGAATAATTATCCAAGTTCCACATACACAATTTCTCTGTTTACACATAGCAATAATTACTATGTTGGGCATTGGCTTAATTTGTGTGTTCCAGAACGGTGACATTTGTCTTCGTTAAGTGACTTGGTTAAAGGATAGAAAGGATACATTACCTTTGTCTGCCGCCTCGATCCCTATTGTCAACTGTAAGTGACACACAGCCGTCGAGTCATCCCAGGCCACAAACACATCGAAGATAACAAGGAGAAATGTTGGAGAGGGGAGGGGGGACAGTTGGGTGGACGCGGGGGATCTGATGTTTATCTGACGTCTTCTAGGAGGGAGTGATATGGTATGGAATGCATTTCCCAAGCATGGTGATTTTTTCAAGCAAAGATATTACAGTGTCTTGATTGATATTTGATATCTTTCTATATTGATACTGGAATTAGTACTCTCCCACGACATGGCTGTCGTTATCATAACATTCCCTCATCTTTGGAACGTGACCAGCGACGTTTATTTCAACAGTTTTATTCTTACCCTTTTCGCAACACCCGTGTGATCACTGATGTTTAGTGATCCATTCACTTAATTGTCAAATTTACGTCCAATGGACACTGTTTCGTCGGTTATTCGAGACTGGTTATTCTCTGGCGTTGATGTTGTATAATTGATAGGTTAACGCACGGTACCTTTTATCTTTAGAGATCAGGGGCGGTCGGGTAGCCTAGTGGTTAAAGCGTTTGCTCGTCACGCCGAAGACCCGGGATCGCTTCCCGACATGGGAACAATGTGTGAAGCCCATTTCTGGTGTCCCCTGCCGTGATATTGCTGGACTATTGCTAAAAGCGGCGTAAAATCATACTCAGTCAGTTTAGAGATCAGATATTATTTCATTATTCCATGGCAAATTTGTTTTCCATCTTTATATACCCAACAACACAGCACGATGAATGCGAACTATAAGATACATAACATTAAGTAAATAACGTCGATTGTGCTGAACTCGTGTGTAGTATTGGCTAAGATGATTGTCAGATCAGATTCGGCACACCCAGTCGGCCCCCAGATGGTATATATTCACGTGCAGACTGTGGTCGTTAAATGTTTACGTGATTTTTTAAATATATAATTTGTCATTCATAACAGTTTTCGAGATAAGATTTTGTGCAGATACGTTTGAATTTTTACCATCAGTGGAAGTTGGGTATGATACTCTGTGTGAAAGTCCTATAGTTGTATCAATATCAGCATGACTTACACGACGCATTAAGTACATTACATTCGTTCCTTAATGCAGTCTGTATGAGCACTGCATGTTAGTTTGTGATCAATGATTATACCAAGATACTGAGAAAAATAAACTCGAATGAAATTAGGACACACACTCTATGGTCAAAGCTCACAATACTGTTTTATTCATACCTGGAAATATTAAGCACACATGATTATATATAAGCGGCAAAACACTTAGGTTTCCATATTCATAAGAAACCTCTGCTAAAAGCACTGGTCTCGATTGTACGATTCCAGCTATATCATGAGCATCTCAAGTAATTTCATACGTGTTGTTTTATCATCTTCATGATCAGTTGTATAGGGGATTATTATTAACTGGCGTTCGGTTGAACTGTCTCCAATCAATTGATTTACAGACAGTCATATCAAACTTTCAAAAGTAGATTTTGATACTGAAACATGTACATATGCTACATCTTCTCGCCCTACACAATAATGTAAAGATTGTATGATAATATAAACTGTTCCAATAACAACACTATGGTCTTATATCACAGCAGCGTGCTAAGTTGGAATTGTTGGTATCAAGGTTGTGTCCATGTTCCCTTCAACGAAATAGATGTGTCGCCGAATGTCATTGTCTCAACGAAGGTGTTGATATTTTATACAATTGCATGTAATCCCCGAATTCGTTCATTGTTGTGTATTTTCGATTTATTCTGGGGGTAAGACCTTTCACTCTACCAGGGATTCATTTCTTCAAATCTATATTATTCATTCTGTGGGAGGATACATTTCTGTGCAACATGGAAAGTTAAATCAAATAAAATTTAACCGAAGGCAGTAAATATTTGTACACTGAAGCCCCATTTATCAAGACACTGTTCTGCTTAAAATGGATTCTTTAATGATCAGACAATTTAAGAGTTCAATTCCATCCAGTTCATCAAAAGGAAGTAGGAAACAGACAAACATCTCTGTTTGGGGGACTTCAAACAGATTTGCTGGCATTGCCAATTGATCCGAATCCAGGCCCCCAGTTAAACAAGGATCTACTCTTGTCCGTTGGTAAGAGGTTTGGTATCTGGAGTATATTCTTCATCATCCGTCTTGTGCTGCTGTTTCTCAAACTTTGCCCAGAGAAGCTTCAGGATATCAAAGGCAGCAATCTCCCCAGCGTTTTTCGTCAGTATCCTCATCAGGAAGACACCATCATCTCTCAGGTACCGCCTCACAAAGTGCTGGAACAACCTCACTTCCACTTCATCTTCCTTCTCCCGCAGCATCTCGAGATACTTCCTCAGGAATCTCTCCCTCCTTGTGGTAAAGACTTCCTCCACTGTCCACTTGATGAGGCTGAGGGCGGTCACCAGTGCAAGGATGATCATGACGAACCACAGCGAAGCGTAAGCTTTCTCCAGGTACATGTTGATGGGGAGGGCGCATTGTACCGTGTGGCTTTAGATATTTTGGAGCTGACGTATCTGAAAGTCACACATGCCAACCCGTGGGAAGTTGTCCGAGTCCTTCATTGGCGCATCATCCTGTAACATCCTCACAACGTCGGCTCCGTAACCCCAGAAGTTGAAACCGAGGAAGGCCGACAGGATCTGGAACTGGACCAAGACGTTGATGAGGTAGAGGAGCTTGACAAATAGGTAGAGCCTTGTCAGGAACCGTCCCGAGCGCTTTCCAAAACAGAAGACGATGCTGAAGAGCTTGGACTGAAAGTTCGCTAGAGGACTGGAATCAAAATGTCTGTATGACTTCAACCATCTGTGGACGTATTCGGCTGTGTACCTCATGTTCTTCTCCCTGTCCTCTTCTCCGTCCAATTGAGTCTGAAGCGCCAGTTGAACAACTTTTTTTATGTTGATGCCGGAAAAGGTGTTGAAGGACGTCCAAATGAAATTGGGAAATTTGAACATTATCCCCTGCACAATGAACATCAGAAACACCCAGCGGTAAAATCGGATACTTCTGTCTGCGGACATTCTCTCGTCAACGTCTTCGGGGAGGTATTCACTGAACGGCACGTTGTGCATGTTGCTGATCCAACAGTACTGGTGGATGTAGGGTTTGAAATTATCGTCGTTATACTCTTTAGGAACCTGCAAAACAAAGGGGAACATATTCTACAACGCCTGTACATATATATCTGTCTCCCTGTTTAATCCACTACAAGCCAGTGTGTCGATGAGGAGCCTGTACTATCATACCCGTCTCCCTGTTTAATCCACTACAAGCCAGTGTGTCGATGGGGAGCCTGTACTATCATACCCGTCTCCCTGTTTAATAAACTACAAAGCAATGTGTCGATGGGGAGCCTGTACTATCATACCCGTCTCCCTGTTTAATCCACTACAAGCCAATGTGTCGATGGAGAGCCTGTACTATCATACCCCTCTCCCTGTTTAATCCACTACAAGCCAATGTGTCGATGGGGAGCATGTCCTATCATACCCCTCTCCCTGTTTAATCCACTACAAGCCAATGTGTCGATGGGGAGCCTGTACTATCATACCCCTCTCCCTGTTTAATCCACTACAAGCCAATGTGTCGATGGGGAGCCTGTACTATCATACCCGTCTCCCTGTTTAATCCACTACAAGCCAATGTGTCGATGGAGAGCCTGTACTATCATACCCCTCTCCCTGTTTAATCCACTACAAGCCAATGTGTCGATGAGGAGCCTGTACTATCATACCCCTCTCCATGTTTAATCCACTACAAGCCAATGTGTCGATGGGGAGCCTGTACTATCATACCCGTCTCCCTGTTTAATCCACTACAAGCCAGTGTGTCGATGGGGAGCCTGTTCTATCATACCCGTCTCCCTGTTTAATCCACTACAAGCCAATGTGTCGATGAGGAGCCTGTACTATCATACCCGTCTCCCTGTTAAATCCACTACAAACCAGTGTGTCGATGAGGAGCCTGTACTATCATACCCTTCTCCCTGTTTAATCCAGCAGTCTGTAAATAATCGAGTCTGGACCAGACAATCCAGTAGTTGATATCGATCTACGCAATTGGTATACGATGACACGCATCAACCAAGTCAGCCTCCCGTTAGTCGCCTCTGGTCCCTGGTTGACGTCGAAATGAAATGGTGATGGGTGGCACAACATTACTTTGACTGAGGTATACCCACTCCACAGTGTGCAAGGAAGGGCCACCGTTTGCGTGTGGGGCGACGTTTTGTCTTTCAGGACGACAACGCCCGTGCTCACCGTGCACGAATCGTCAATGCTCACTTCCAGTAGCACAACATACACAGAGTAATCATCCTGACCCTTCCCCCATTGAACACGTCTGGGACATGATAGGGAGACGCGTGCGTCAACGTCATAGGCCGCCGACCACGTTGGCTGAACTTGGACTGGCGCTGCAGGAGGATTGGGACAGACAGACTCCCTCAAATCGCCATTGCGAGACTCATACGCAGAATGCCTCGGCGAGAGAATTTATGTTAAACAAAATCGTGGCGGTTCGCGGTATAACACACTACTGATCAATGAACGTCATCTTTGAAATATCTCATCTTACCCCTATGGTCCTTCAAGAAACTTGGCGATCATAACATCTACTGTCCTACTTCACTTCCGGTCGTGACCCGTGAAGATTCCGGGGTAGAATAGCTCTTCAGCAACCCATACTTGCCGTAAAAGGTGACTATGCTTGTCGTAAAAGGCGACTTACGGGATCGGGTGGTCAGACTCGCTGACTTGGTTGATGCACGTCGTCGATTCCAAGTGCGTGGATCGATGTTCATGATGTCAATCACTGGATTGTCTGGTCCAGACTCGATTATTTTACAGACCGCCGTCATATAGCTGGAATATTGCTGAGTGCGGCGTTAAACAACAAACAAACAAACACTTCCGGTCGTAATGTGTTCCTATTTCGTTTATTATT